TCATACAACTATTGCACATATAATTGTAGAAAAAAATCAATGTATATAAATCATTCAATAATTCAAAACGCGTTTTAATGTCAACAAAGTAAAACTAGGAATTAAAATATCACATCACAATGTTCATCGTTCACCGAGCACATATAAATCTAGCCTAATATGATAGAAGAAAAGAAATCAGAAAATTTAATAAAGAACGACATCACCAATTTAGATTCTTGAATTGATTCTTCGCGTCGTGATATTATTCTCCTTGTTTGTCCTTGATTTCTCTCTCAAACGCTTCAAAAGTCTCCTCCGAAGTCTGCCTAGGGTTTGAAGACGGCTTTAGGGCTTAAGTAACATCCCAAAATTTGTTTCTAAAGGTGTTTGAATTGAAAAAGGAAACCAGAAATTTTTCGAGTCGGAAGACAACCATGTGGCCGCATGGTAGTATTCCATGCAGCCGCATGGAACAAAAAAATTTCCTCCTCTGAATGCCTGATTGTATGTGTGCAGCTGCAAGGTAGTTTCTACCATGTCCGCATGGTAGAGTGACTTTCCCACTGGATAGTTTTCAATATTTTGGTCATATGTTTCTCTTTCGATATCTGATTGAGGCGATTTAAATTGTGTTAGAAAGATTACTCAAAGGGATACAAATCGTCAAGAAATATAAATCTTCACATTCGAACGTATTCTATACAAAAAATGGGTCTCAAACTAAGACTGAAAATTCGAAACATAACTTTTTCGGTTAGAAGTTGATATGTGATAGCACTTCCACTATATTTCATCCCTTTGGCTTCTTTCCTCATCCAATTGATACCCAGCACTCTCAAATCTTCATCGTGAGATCGACACAACTTTTCACTAATTGCACTTGAGTCCTCAAACTTTGACTGTGCTTCATTTTAGTCGTTTTCGATTGTTTTTCCGAATTTTCACCATGTTCATCATTGTTGTCCTACAAAATACAAATTACATCAAATTAAATTACATTCCACATATTTATTAACAATTATCCATGTTTAGGCCTATAATAAGTGTGTAAAAATATACTTATCAACTCCTCCAAATTTGAACTGTTGTTTGTCCTCAAACAACTATAACTTAATTCCACATAAAATATGGTTAGACAACTTGCCATATCTCAAGATTGGAACTTAGTACTTCTCTACAAACAGCATGGTTTAACAATATGTCGTGTCTCAGATTTGAAATTTGGTAGTCAGACAAATGAACGATTAGAATAGTGCAAAAATTAAATCAGTCTCCACCTGTTATATGCATAACTTGACGTGTATGTGTTTGAAAACTTATGCCAACATATTAAGATCATGATTAGCTCAACACCCGACACAGAGTAGTCAAATATTTTCTTACTTCGCTCGAGAGATGGACACGCCCTCAAACTTATTCTTTTTACTCTATTTTCCCGGTGTATTCTAAATTGAACTTATTCAATTCTAGTCCTTACCCCCTCTCAGTTTAGATAGATCTTACTATCACAAGTTCACACTTCAACAAGTAGAGATTCTCCTTTTTTTTTTATTTCTTTAACCTCTGAGACTAAATTGAGCTAGTTGCCTCACATTAGAGATATAGTCTTATCAACCGAGTGTCTGAGGCTAATCAATGCATTTCATACATAAGAGTATGTACGTAATTCATCAATAGATAGATGCCACTTTTTTCTTTTCTTTTATATAACATCTTTCATTTGCTTTCTATATAACAGCTGTAGCGAACTTTAGTCCGATGAATCCCAAGTCAGATGACCATAGGGCACCAGATTTTAAACCCTTATAGGCTTAATCACTCGAATTATACAAACTCGAACATATATCTTTGTTTATTCAATGATTAGTGCAATGCCCCTTTTCTTTTAGACAACTAGTTTCTAAAACTACATTCTAACTTGAAACTTTCACTTCGTAAATTATTTTCCATTTTCCACATTTTAGATTGTTTGATAGGAAAAATTTTCTAAGCAATTGATTTTCCAACTTATACCTCAAGTGACCCCATTTTTCACATTTTCCTTGAATTGGTTTTTCCATGGATTTGGTAGTTTTTAGTTTTCTAGGCATTTTTTTTGTGCAATTGAACAAATTATATCCCCAATTGTAACAAATTATATCCATTTAATGAACAATTTCCATGGAAAACAAACTCAAACAGATACCAAAAAATCCAAAATTTTAATATTTTTCAGGTAGAAAATTATATCAATCTAACACAATTAATTGACAATTTCTAGACAATTCAATTCTTTGAAATTCATTTTCTTTCCATCCAAATTTCATTCTTGCAATCAAACGGATCCTAATATCTTTTGTAATCAAGAAAACACAATTTTAGAAATTATAGTGGAGAACGTGTCCTTGTACTTTAAAGAAACATCCACGCATTCTCCACTCTGCCGACCACATCAACCGCTTCAAAATCATTCATCTTCAAAATGAAGTAAAAAAATAATAAACCCCACTTTTGATTATAGATTATAATGTATAGAAATCGAACTTTACTATGAAGTAATTTTGATTGATTGATTGATCGCCCTAATATGAAATTGTTGTTGGGAAATTGCTAAAAAGAGGGCATCTTTTCTTTAAAGGAACCGTGGCCCTAACAAGGTTAAATCAAAAGAGGATAAGGTAAATCTTTCAACTAAAACAAGAGCAATTGATACGTGTTACTCTCAATCAAAATATTTTCTCGATGTTTTCCCTGTAACAATATACTCAATCTTATATACGGTCGGAATAGTTTTCATATAGTGACAGATTTTTGTATTTGTATCGAGCACTTAAAAAAAGACTAACTTGAAGTTTTTTACGTGAATCTTTGTATATATCAACATTGACGATCTATCATGTTTTTTCTCGACCCCAATACCAGACTCCTCAAGGCCTTCAACCCAAAGTTTGAACCACACAATTGGATTGGAGTTTTGACGGTTGGATAATAGTTTAATTGTGTATATTGATGTCTATGCATTTGATAATATCGATAAAGACGTAATTATACAATTATTTCAAAGTATGAAAATATGTAGACAATGTTTGTAGTAAAGTATTCAATTATTTGCATTAAAGTTATATTGCTTGAAAAAAAAAATTGTAACTTAATTTTTGATTCCACAATGAAGAATGTCTGACTCCTCGACTATAACTAGGTATACGATAAAAATACTTGCGTTTGTATCATAATACAAGCATTTATTAAAATGTTATTATAAGTTTCCATATTATACCATAAACAATACAAAAATTTATTCCTTGTATTGCACGATTTATAAGGAAATTTTAAGTCATAATAAATCATACTGTTATAAATGATATTATTTATACTAAGATCACGGCCATAGTTGTTGATCATCGTTGCTATCTCTAATATCTACTATTGCACTATGTTGGCCTCAAACTCATTTATTATTATTATTATTTTTTTTTTGATAATCAAGAATTGCATTCATGAGAGAATCAACGATTACAGACGACTTTCAAGCCAAATAGTTTGAGAGATAAAGTCTGGAAATCCCTCCAACCACATTTGAATGGACTCAACTTCCCACGCATGCCTAGCTAGTTCATGTGCCACCCCATTCCCTAGTCTAATCACATGGCTGAAATCCCTCCCACCACATCTGAATGGACTCCACTTCCCACGCATGTCTAGCTAGTTCATGAGCTACCCCATTCCCTAGTCTACTAACATGACATATTGTTACATCCATAAAGGAAAACAAAAGGCATCTAATATCAGCAATGATTGAGCCCCAAGGTCACATGGTAATAGATTCGGCGTCATTGAGCTGTGAAACAACTAAGAGGCAATCTGATTCAATGACTAAATGATATATTCCCATCGGCATAATAAGCTGAAGCCCTCGAAGTACAGCAAGAAACTCTACAATTTCTGGATCAGCCACTTCCCGTTCTCTTTTTGAGGCAGCCATTAACACCTTTCCTGCTTGGCCCCTTAGAACAACACCAATCCTCGCTTTGTGAAGGTGATGAAAAGTCGCACAATATACATTCAGTTTCAAAAAATTTGTCGGAGGAGCTTTCCAAGCACAAAAGCTATTCAAAGCAGAGCCCGATTGAGTTTTGACTCCTTTAAACAAATGTAGCATCGAAATAGCATGTTCTATGGTAGAGCTCATGTTTAAACTCTTGCCTTCATAAAGTTTTTTATTTCTACTCAGCCACATACTGGAAGCAATAGTGAAAAACGAGCCCAGGAACTCTTTGCCGCTTACCCTTTTAATCTGCATAACCACCTCAAATAAATCTTGGCTTTGGTCAACCTGGGACATAAGAGGGAGAAACCTTATCCTATAATCAACCTTAGAGGGACAATTCAAGAAAATATGATTTAAATCCTCTGCCCTCGCATCACAGAATCCACATTCAGGTGTAACATTTATCTGCTTTCTGATAAGATTAGTGGGAGAAGAGTGGCAAACTCGTTTATTATTAACAATGGTGTTAACAACAGTTCGTTAACAGTCTTGTGTTGTCAAAATATTTGGATTATATTAATTTCGGAGTAAATAAGTGTACACATCAAAATGTATATATTAAAAAGAAATCCAAAATAATGTTGTAATATTGTTAGACAAAGCAGAAGCTGTCATCAATTATATGCATAATTTTTTTTCCCTTTCTAATTTATTCCCCATTCCAAATAGTTTATGAATTAATTTAGAAGGGGGCAATATCACATATTATGAATTAATTTAGAAGGGACAATACGTGATAAATCATTACATAATTTATCCAAATGTCAAACTTAATTTTTTTTATTCATATGGGTTAACAAATATAAAAGAGGATATAAGTTATTTATTACATCCAGAATGACGAGGCATCTTGGCCTACTAGGTGACGTGATAAAATCATGTTTCATATAAAATAATATTATTTATTATCAGTGGTGCAAAACAACAGTTTAAGTGGTCACACTCGATAGATTCAACTACAAAACAACAGTTTAAGTGGCCACACTTGATAGATTCAACTAAATGAATTGTGTGATATTATATTTAAGTAAATTTGTCATTTAATGTCGTGCAGCTGCTACCTGGCTTGTGCTTGCCACCACGTAAAGTAGAAAAATATTAGACCCATGAAAGTCATTAAAGACCAACTTTAACATAAAGACTTGTTAAAATTAATAGTAGCTTGTTATTAAGTATACTTGTTTACCATGGAGTTGTTCCACGAGTGAAGAGCGACGCGATGTCTTACTTTGAATTTCGAAATGATTTAAAAAAACAAGTTAACTAATAATAACACGTGACGTAAAGTCAACGAAAAGAAATTCTGATTATCTCGAATTCCATCACCATTGATAGATCACATTGGCTAATTTTAAATCTAGAGTCTTGAAAATATCTTTTTATATCATCAGTAATGCAAATTTATATCTAGACGATCCCAATTAGTTAATATCGAACAATTTTGCATTGCATCGATCACTTACTAACTTTAATTTAGAAAGTAATGAAGTCGAAAAAGTAATTGTAGAGGTCCAAGCCGGCAAGATGATTGCACTCATTTGGGTGGAAAATCATGATTGAATAGTGTGAATAGCATGCAAATAATGATGAGCCATGCGAGTTGAGTGTGTTATATAACGTGCTAATCCCTTTAATTAAGTGTCATTAATCTACTTTCTCAGGTTAACATCGTATTTCACGACTGTTGAGGGCGTGTTTGTTCTTTCTTCTGTCGTACAATAAGTTGGTATATGTGATGATGAAAATCACGCACTCCGACTCCTCTGACTTTATTGTTTCATGAGTTCTCGTATCACGATAAATTGAAGATATCGTGTATATATATAATAACATTTTTTTTTTTGTGAAAATAGGTTATTTTATCTTGACAGTAAAGAGGAAGTTAATTTTTTGAGTATTGCAACGTGTATAGAAAAATTTTCACAGAAACTCTACGGGATTTCACATGGTAAAGATTGATTGACGGATGATAAGAAAAAAAACTGTCTACAAATCAGGTGCTGCTGTAAAAAATCTGAGAAAAAATTCATGTACTTGAACATATACCGTAATTTTTTATGGTAAGTCAAACACGCTAGATTTTCTTTTCCGGCTCGATAACAGAGTATCATTGATTAGAATATTAAATATTTCCTTTATTTTGTATAGAAAATTTTTCTTTGAAAATCGGGCATTTTATTTGTTCTTTTCTAAAATATAAATCTATTTTTTATTATGATAAATCCGTTTTAACGAATGATTAATTAAACATTTGTTGACTTTTGATTACAAATAATGTCACGGGAGGTAAATGCGATTTTTCATGGGTTCTTCTTCGTTGACATAATGTCCATCTGGTTATTGTAAAACTATTTTTTAGAAGCTCAACTTTATTTAAAAGTTTTCGATAAAAAAAATTTCAAAAAATTATTAGAACATGTTGAATTTTTTTTTATTTTTTATTTTTTAACTTTTCAAAGAAATCGTTAAGCAGGCCCTTCGTAGCCTTAACTAGGGATGACAAAAAAGTTCGTCGGCTCTGACTCGACCCGGAAAAAGCCCGAGCCGGGCCCAACTCGGGTTTGGTTACACCGAGCCGAGGCTCAGGCCAAGCCCGTGACCAGGGTGAGCCAACCCATTAATTAAAAGAAAATCAAAATTAATTGTTCTTGGTATTCCTGTTTGGTTACACCGAGCCGAGGCTCAGGCCGAGCCCGTGACCAGGGCGAGCCAACCCATTAATTAAAAGAAAATCAAAATTAATTGTTCTTGGTATTTCTGCTGACAATAGTAGCATTTAGCTTAACCTAAATAACAATGCTTAGTAGAATAAAACATATTAAAAAAAGATAAAAAATAAAATTTAAAAATAAGTTCAAATTAGTGTCAAAGTAAATAAAATCAAACTAAAATTAAATCTCCGGCAACGATACCAAAAACTTGATCATCGAAAGTATGTTTTGAATAAAAACTACCGCAACTGTACGGATTGTTCAAGTAATAAAATGGATTTTAGAGTCAAAGTATTGTTTTCACAAAGATTTACTAGTACAATTTTACATATTCTAATCTTAACCGAAACGTGAAATATGGTTGAGTTTTGTAACTAAGTTGTAGCTAAACTAAATGAAAGCAATAGTCGATGAATTAATTGAACTAAATGCAAATTATATGATTAAATGCAAACTAAAGTAACTAATAGAAAATAAACGCGTTAGGTTCGCGAATTCTCATGCAATGATCCATTTTAACTCTAGTTCTACAAAATTGACAACACGCTTGAATTGATGAAGAATCAATATTTTTAACCTATTCAATAATCTTTCTCGAGTAGAATTGAACCGATTCTCGCATACTATTTGATTATATATCTATGACAAATGTAATATACAAGAATGCATGACGTTTTATAAACACTTAGAAATTCACGTAGAGCATAGCGGTATATTTATATCCTCTATCGGACCCTACGATGATTTATACCCTATCGAACTTATTTCCCTTCTTTGAAATGCATAAAATAAGCTACCACACTCATACAACTATTGCGCATATAATTATAGAGAAAAATCAATGTATATAAATCATTCAATAATTCAAAAAATGTTTTAATGTTAACAAAGTAAAACTAGGAATTAAAATATCACATCACAAGGTTCATCGTTCACCTAGCACATATTAATGTAGCCTAAGATGATAGAAGAAAACAAATCAAAAAATTTAATAAAGAATAACATTACCAATTTAAATTCTTAAATTGATTTTTCGCATCGTGATGTTATTCTCCTTGTTTGTACCTTGACTTCTCTCTCAAATGCTTCAAAATTCTCCTCCCAAGTCTGCCTAAGGTTTGAGGACGGCTTTAGGGCTTAAGTAACATTCCAAGATTTGTTTCCAAATGTGTTTGAATTGAAGAAGGAAACCAAAAATTTCTCGCGCAGGAAGACAGCCATGTGGCCGCATGGTAGTATTCTATGCAGCCGCATGGAACAAAAAAATTCCCTCCTTTGATTGCTTGATTGCATGTGTGCAGCCGCATGGTAGAGTGACTTTCCCACCGAAAGTTTTCAATATTTTAATTATATCTTTCTCTCCCGATATCTGATTGAGGTGATTTAAATTGCGTTGGAAAGATTATTCAAAGGGCTACAAATCGTCAAGGTATAAATCTTCAAATTTGAATATCTTCTATTCCAAAAGAATAATGCTAAGTGTACACTACCTTGTGCCAGAATTGGACAATTTGATGTGTTATGATTTGCTCCACATTCCTCACAACTTGGCTTTTTGACTTGTGCTGAATTTGCTGTTTGTGATATACTTTCCACCTTGTGAAAGAAGGTATCAATCTTTGCAGATAGGTATCTACCTCGTAGACTCTAGTTGTTTTCTTTGGACCTCCTCGATCTGAAGACCACATGGCTGAATATTATCCATTCTCTCGAACAATTACCAAGCTCCATCAATCATTCTGGTGGTTAGGGATCCATTTAACGACGAGTCCATCGTGCTCTTGAAAGTCGAAAGTAGTCCTGTATAGAAAAATCTGATTTGTGTTGGCTTGTCGAACCCATGTTGAGGATATTTCCTTAGCATGTTCTTGAATCTGTTCCAAGCTTCATCAAAGGATCCGGCTTCATTTTCGCTAAATATTGATATGTTGTAGCTCAGTCTCTCCACTTTGGCTGGTGAGAAAAATTTGGTGCAGAATTTGTGAGCCAGATCATTCCAGGTAGTTATGCTTGCCACTGTAAGTGAATTCAACCATTCTAGTGCTTTATCCCGTAGAGTGTGTAGAAATAACATCAGCCCGATAGCATCCTCTAACATTCCCTGGTACCTGAAGTATTGACACATATCCAATAACCGGGATATATGTGTATGAGGATTTTCATTTGTCAATCCGTAAAACTGATGCCTATTTTAGAAGAGTTGGATGACATTAGTTTTCAGCTGGAAGTTCGACTGTTCGAATGGAGGATACACAATGCTAGATTGACTTTGAACAATGAATTGTGACAAGAAATCTCCAAGAAGAGCATTCCCATCATATTGTACCTCTACATTGGCTGGAGCTGGAGCTGCAAGGTTTAATCTCGGTTCAATCTGTTGATTTGCCATTTGTAGTTGTTCTTAGTATTCCTGCTGACAATAGTAGCATTTAGCTTAACCTAAATAACAATGCTTAGTAGAATAAAACATATTAAAAAAAAGATAAAAAATAAAATTTAAAAATAAGTTCAAATTAGTATCAAAGTAAATAAAATCAAACTAAAGTTAAATCTCCGGCAACGACGTCAAAAACTTGATTATCG